TCTTAATTACTGACATTTTCTGCAACTTATAAACATAGTAGCTGTTCAGTAACTTAAAATGGAAAACTTATTGAAACAACAAATTCAAGTGTTTGGTAATGTTGTATGTGTGATTAAATGGTTCCTAAGAATGGTGTGATCAAATTTGCTGTTTAAATTATTCAAATCTCGGATATTATGATTGGAATTGGTTTCAGGGATATTGTGTAGAGTAAAGGTTATTAAGGTTGTTATTCTATTGGAGGAGGGTATATTTATGATATTAATACAAATAGAACATATAATATATATCACAATGGTTTATGTTATAATCATGATTAATAAGATAAGAATGGTAAATAATTAGCATTTACATTTTCTACAAATGATATAATAATAGTTGAAGTGGATATTGAAAAGAAGTATGTGAAATGGACAAAGTAATCCACAAATGAATCATTCGTATCAATTTCTATTTACTATTAGACTCTTACTATTGATACATCCAAAGATTTATATCCATGTGTACATTTATATGGTCCATCTAAAGTACAGATATTAAAATAACAGTTTAAATGAATATCTTATGGTGAAATTATTAAGATAACTAATTTTCTAATTGCACCTTTATTTCTTGTTTCTCTCATTATAATAGCTAGGACTCAGGATTTCTACATTCTTTTTCTAATAGCTTGTTATAATTTTAACATAATTATCGAGGAGAATGAAATAGTTAGTATTCAATTTTAAGTTCAAAATTCTCAAGTTCACGCTAACTATAGCCTCATATAATACCCTTATACAAATAACACAATTTTACCTATCGTTCGGTTTAGAATGATTCTTCCTTTAATTAAAATAAGTCTTATACAAGATCTCAATTTTTTTCATAATTTATTTCATTTACAATCATATCATCTGTTTATCTATATTTTTTCACTATTGCACCAGGAAACTTTTATAAAAAGCTTGTGCTTAAAATATTTAAATTGATTTCATAAATCTAAATAGAATTTATTAATTTGATATATTTGTGACTTGGGGCCAAATAGAAAAGAAAAAATGGATTTTTCAAAGAGCTATTCATAAGAATAACATATGAGAATAAGAATTATTTCTAACTGAACTTTTAGAATATATATCGTTTTTTTTTGGCGATTATTATTAGAATAAAGTTCCAACAACAAAAGAATTTGGAATATCCAGTGTAAAATTGATCAAATATTTACCATAATTAAATTTTAATTCATCATTTCATTACACTATTATTGGTCTACTTATAGATTAATTCTTGTAAATGATTTCCAATATTAATTGATAATTGCTTCCAGGAGTTGATTAGGAAAAGAATTCGATCATGAAAATAAAATAAATAAATTCATAATATTAATAAAATCGACATCATTTATCCCCAAAATTTAGAACTTAATATTGTTTTATCTTAGAAATGTTTTGCAATAAAGGATTATAACAATTTGTTAAATAGAAACATCACTAGGTAACATTTGAAATAATCAAGTGTGTGTAGAACTCTAATAAAGAGCTAATTAGATATTGATGAAAGATGCTTCAAAGCACTGCCACTAAACTAAGTGAAAAGAACGTATAAAATGCCACAGAAAGAAATATTTTTCAGAAATTTCTCATTTAAAAAAATTCAAATTGTAAATACAAAAACGAGCCATGTTTATACAAACTTTCCATACTCATTTACTCGAATGTATTTTACTTAGACGTAGGATAAAAGATATTCAAAAAAGTATTTGGATACTATTATAAAAGACTTCAAAAAAAGAAACGTGACCTTTAATTGATGACTCTCAGAGGAGAATGCCAATTTGAAATATTTTATAAATATATGATATGTAAAATAATTTTTTCTATAATCTTATTGCTTTTTTTATTAAATTAGCTAGAATGTATAAAATAACTACAGTTAGTAAAAGGGTATAAGAAAGTCAATTAGATTAATTTTAAACAGAGCATTTTTATTACTCAATTCAAAAAATTTAAGACACAGATCAAGAAAAAATCCTGAATTTTCTTTTTTTAATTTTATGGTATGATTATAGTCATACTAATTTCATATCACTGTGTTTGAACAAACTTCTTTTTAAAAGACATCACACTTATCAAAATTATGAGGGATAAAGAGGATTTGAAATAATAAAATTATAATGATATTTGCATAATTTCATTAGTAAAACCTAATCATATTGAGTGCTTAAAAAGTTGGTTTGTTAAAATTCTGATAAATTCTTTAATAGCAGATTGAATTTCTTAAAAGCAAATATTCTACTTAATTGATTAAAATTTAAATTTCATAATACTATTGCTATTGTTCTTGTAATAATCTAAATCTGATTTACTTTTCAACTATTTTGATGAGAAGGAAAGCCTTGTAATGGATTCAAGATGAATAAATTTATAACTTTGGCTTCAATATTATATAACTTGTTTTTTTCAAATGAGAAATTTTATTTAGAAGAAAGATTCAATTGTTTTTATTATAAATGAATAATATTTTGCATTGAAATTATACATCTAAAGATCAATAATTTATTTGAATAATTATTAAAACAATTATTTATAATAATTTTAAACTGAATTAAATATCTTAATATTTTCACCATAAAATATTCATTTAAACTGTTAATTTAATATCTGTACTTTAGATGGACCTAATAAATGTACACATGGATATAAATCTTTGGATGTATCAATAGTAAGAGTCTAATAGTAAATAGAAGTTGATACGAATGATTCATTTGTGGATTACTTTGTCCATTTCACATACTTCTTTTCAATATCCACTTCAACTATTATTATATCATTTGTAGAAAATTTAAATGCTATTTATTTCGAATCCTTATCTTATTAATCATGATTATAACAAAAACCATGGCAATGTATATTATATGTTCTATTTGTATTAATATCATAAATATACCCTCCTCCAATAGAATAACAATCTTAATAACCTTTACTCTACACAATATCCCTGAAACCAATTCCAATCATAATATACGAGAATTGAATAATTTAAACAGCAAATTTGATCACACCATTCTTAGGAACCATTTAGTCACACATACAACATAACAAAACACTTGAATTTGTCTCAATAAGTTTTCCATTTTAAGTTACTGAACAGCTACTATGTTTATAAGTTGTTGAGAATGTCAGT